TTCGAACTCCTGAGCTCAAACAATCCACCTGCCTCGGCCTCCCAGAGTGCTAGGATTACAGGCGTGAGCCACCAAGCCCGGCCTATATTTCCTTTTTTAATGAAAGTATCTTAATTTTTTCTGATAGTTCATAATTTTTGTAGACTATACAAACAATGTAAAGGGAAACACCCCTCCATTATAATCCCAGCCTCTCCCATAATGACAGACAGCTATCAATAGATCTTTTCATTTGACCAGCCTAAAAAAAAATAGATCTTTTAATGCTTATATAGACATATATTTGTATATATTCACATTTTTAAAAAACATGAATGACATCACCCTCTATATCCCTTTTATGTCTCACATATATATCATGAATGTCTTTTCATGTATAATATTTTCCTTTTAACAGCTCTATAGTATTCCATTTTATGTTATGGGCCTTAATTTATTCAATCAGCTATTTATCTGATAGACATTTGGGTCGTTTCATCTGCACATATAGCTTTGTCCATTTACTTTCTTTGAAATGAAATTCTAGAAGCAAAATTGCTGGGTTGAAGAGTTTGCATTCTGACAATTTTGGTTTTTGTTGTCAACTTGTCCTCTGGAAAAAATATCAAATTACACTCCAACCGATAGAAGAGAGTGACCACAAATAATTCTAGGAGTGAGATAATTTATAATGGCAAACACTGAAAAAAATAAGGCTATATTTTTTTAAAATTCCATGCTTTCTTCTTTTGAATTGATAATTTTTACTTTCATTAGAGTTTATAATTTTTATTGATAAATACTAATAATTCTTTAAATGTTAAAGATATTAATCTTTGGAAAATATTTTTGCAGCCTATTTTTGTTTTTGTTTTTGTTTTTTTTTGAGACAGAGTTTCACTTTATTGCCTGGGCTAGAGTGAGTGCCATGGCGTCAGCCTAGCTCACAGCAACCTCAAACTCCTGGGCTCAAGCGATCCTTCTGCCTCAGCCTCCCGAGTAGCTGGGACTACAGGCATGTGCCACCATGCCCGGCTAATTTTTTATATATATATTTTTAGTTGTCCAGATCATTTCTTTCTATTTTTTAGTAGAGACGGGGTTCTCGCTCTTGCTCAGGCTAGTCTTGAACTCCTGACCTTGAGTGATCCACCCGCCTCGGCCTCCCAGAGTGCTAGGATTACAGGCGTGAGCCACCGCGCCCGGCCGCAGCCTATTTTTTCTTTTGTCTTTTTAGCATCTTTTGTCTTACTGAAGTTTTTAAGCTTTATGTAGTCAAATCTGCCAATTTTTTTTTATGTTTTCTGAGTTGTGTTTTTTTGAAACAGGGTCTCACTCTGTCACCTGGGCTAGAATGCAGTGGTATCATCATAGCTCACTGCAACCTCAAATTCCCGGGCTCAACTGATCCTCCTTCCACAACCTCCCCAGTAGCTGGGGCTACAGGCCTGTGCCACCCTGCCTGGCTAATTTTTCTATTTTTTGTAGAGACAGGGTCTTGCTATGTTGCTCAGGCTGGTCTTGAACTCCTGGCCTCAAGTGAGCCTCCCACCTTGGCTTCCCAAAGTGTTAGGATTACAGATGTGAGCTGCCACGCCCAATTGAGTTTTCATATCATGTTTCTAAAGGTGTTCCCCCTATAAGATTATTCAAAAAGATTCTCTATTTTCTTTTCCCATTTTTATGTTCTTTATATTTACATGTAAATCTTTAAGCTATGAGGAGTTTTTAGTGTGTCAAATGTGAGGTAGGAATCCACATTTTTTTCCCATGTGGATAGAGATGTTACAAGTTTGCTTAACAATAAGAGAATTCCTACTATGTGTACCAAGCTGCTGATCTCTTCCTGTGGTAACTTCTGACCACTCACTTCCTCTGCCTTTGAGAACAATGGAAACTGCATGATCCCCAGCAGCGCCCCAGAGCAGACAGACAGGCCTCTTTATTTTTGTCCCCTAGGAGCTTCGGATGAAGATCTTGGTGAAGGGAAAGAAATTAGATGCACTCGAGGAGGATCTTAAGGACGAGGAAGAGGAGGAGGAGGAGCCAGAATCTGAGCTGGAGAGACAGCTGGAGTCAGAATCGGTGCTAGAGTCCCAGTATGAGACAGAGCCTAAGCCTGAGCTCCAGGAGCTGAGACCTTCGAGTAAGGACAAAAAGGAGAAGGTAGGCCAGGAGTGGTCTTTCTGCTGTGGCATTTGGTCAGCCTGCACCACGAGCTGAGGGCCCATTTGTGAAGAGACTAGAGCCAGGCAAAGTGGAAGGCCAAGATGCAAAATGACCCTTCCTCCCAATAAAAGAAGCATAAGAATGCATACATGGCATCACTATATATTGCAGTGGCTTTCCAACTTCTTTGGGCCATGAAATCTTTTTCTTTTTTTAAATAAAATCTTATACGGAAGCTCAGTGTACAAAATAAATAAATGCAGAACCATCCTACTTGAAACACCCATTTGGCTCTCTCCTGGGTCCCTCAGGTTACTCCTGAAACATCTTTGTATTTCTCAGTCTTCTTAAAGACCAGTTTGAAAACCACTGGTGGGAGTGTGTGTATGTGTAGCATTATTATATTGGGTAAGCGGGGTTAGTGGAATGATTGTTGTGACTTCAATTAACGAAGACTTAGAGAAAGCTTCTTGGAAAGGGTGAGTTTGAGGAAGGGCCAGAAATAGCCAAACAGGAGCAGGAGGGAGAGAGCTTTGAGGTGGGGAAGGTGAAGGCTCTGAGAAGGCTGTGCCAAAGCGGTCCATCTCCCTATGGGGAAGGGAGGCAGAGGGGTGCCATTGGTGGGACCTCCAAGATCCTGATTCGAAGTCTGCATTTCTCTCTTGTGCACTTGCCTGGCTCACTCAGATGACTAATTATAGCTTATCCTGTTCTCTCTGGGGCTGTGGTGTCTAACCTGCTGCCATGTCCAGGGATGGAAATGGGAATTCAGGAGACAAATCCAAAGATATTGCTCTGGGACTCTCATGTCCTTTCAGCTGTGACTTCCATGTCCATTTGCATACCTTGATATATCTGTCTAAATTCATGTACATCTTGACCAAAGATTATTATTCATTTAACAGAAGAGAGGTAGGGAGGATGGCAACTCTCTGTTTAAAAATAATAATAATAAATTAAAAAACCTGTTACCCAGGATGTAACACAGAGCAGACCCTCCAAACCCAGAGGCTGAAACTGATCCCAGCAGTATATGCAGACTGCCTTTATTCCCATTCCCACCCCCAGGTTGTGACGTGTCCGTCGTTTTGTCTGCCTATCTGTTGTCAGACTACGGCCCAGGCTTCTATTTCCAAGCCTGAGCCCCTTCTCTTGTCCCAGCAGGTGAGGCAGGAGGGAGAATGTAGTGGGGAGGCAGTGGGCAGAGGCTTAGGTTGGATGGCCATTAGCTTCTTTCCTCTCAGACTGCTGAGGGTTCAATTCCATTTTCTTCTCCACCTTGCTTCTCCAGAAGTCCAAGGTCACCTTGTGTCCAGCCCTCTCTGATCTGGTTGTCTACTTGAAGACTGTCTCATTCCACAGCTTCGCTCATTCAAGGGAGCACTACCACTGCTATGAGATGTCATCCTTCTCTGAAACTAAGGCCAGGGGCCTGGTCAAGGAGGCTGGTCAGGACCAAAATGGAAGGACAGGGAGGGAAGTGGGATGAGTAGATTCAGGCCTGTGGGCAGGCAGGTAAGTCCCAAGAAAGGACAGGGAGCTAAGGAGAGATGAAGGAGCTAAGAAACTCCTCAGAACAGGTAAGGGGGAGAGGAGTTACAAGTAGTGGGCTCAAGGCTCTAGAGAAAGCAAGCTGGGGGAAGATGGTCTACATAAAACAGAATAGAGAGGCACATTGATGCTTTCTGGAGCTATCCTCAGGAGATGTTGGGGAAAAGAGTGAAATGAGCAGGCAGGGTTGTTGGGACCAGGGAAGCCCACTTCCATCTCCTTCCCTGCACCCTTTTACAGGCAATGAATTTGTGCAGCACAATGCTTGGCAATTAAGTCGTGTGTACCCCAGTGGCCTGAGGACAGACTCTTCCAACTACAACCCCCAGGAACTGTGGAATGCAGGCTGCCAGATGGGTGAGGCAGCAGCAGGGACTGGGAGGAGGGCGTGGAGGAGAAGCAGGTGGGAAGTAAGTTCCCAAGTGGCAGTAGGGCTGGGGAATGTTTCATAAAGATTGCCAAACTGAGAAAGATGCTATCTATGGAGGTATTCCCAGCAGGCACTCTTGCATCCAATATCTATCGTCTTAATTCCCTAAAAGAGGCGCTGGAAGGCTCCCAAGGTGAATCTTTCCCTTCTTTTCTCCTGGGTCCCTCAGTGGCTATGAATATGCAGACTGCAGGGCCTGAAATGGACATCTATGATGGGCTCTTCCGCCAGAACGGTGGCTGTGGCTATGTGTTGAAGCCAGACTTCCTGTGTGATGCTCAGAGTTCCTTCAACCCAGAGAGGCCCATTAGCCCTTTCAAGGCCCAGACCCTCTTAATCCAGGTACGATGGGAAGAGAAACTGTTGGGAAGAAACTGGGATAGCTGGGGTAGAAGTAGGGGAAGAGGTGGTTAGGCCTGACAGGAGTGTAATTGACTGAAAGTTCCTTGTGAGAGGCAGGATAGCCTGATTAACAGTGTCTAGCTTTAGTATTTGGAGCCAACTTCATAGCTTCACCACTTCCTGGGTGTGTAACATTGGGCAAGCTCCTTAACCTCTCTGTACCTCAGTCTGCTCATCTGCAAAATGGGGGTAATACTACCACCTATTTCACTGGGTTGTAAGGATCACAGCAGGTAATATAAAGTGCTTACAACAAATCCTGGTACACCGTAAGTGCTATAAAAGAGGCTGTCATTAGCATGCTTACTTTCAGACCTTGTTAATAATTTCTACTTGGATGCATTTTTAATTGCAGATAGAATACTAGAAGAAAACATATTAGCCTTGGAGGCTATTTTTACAAACTAAAAAGCAATAGTGCAAAGTCTTTTGTCTTCTCCCCTGGGGTGTGAAAGTTGGAGGGGGGTGCTGGGCTGAGCCAGAACTCATGAGGTTCCAGAGCCCTGGTTACAGGTGATCAGTGGTCAGCAACTCCCCAAAGTGAACAAGACCAAAGAGGGGTCCATTGTGGATCCACTGGTGAAAGTGCAGATCTTTGGTGTCCGTCCAGACACAACCCGGCAAGAGACCAACTATGTGCAGAACAACGGTGAGAGACTGGCACGCTGGCGGGGGAGGTGTTGGGAGCATGGCCAATTTTCCTTCTATCTTGCCCTCCATTAAGTAGAGTCTATGTTACCACATGTCGCCCCACCCCTTCCCTCCATGGGAGGCAGTGTGAAACAGTACAAAGAATACTGGCCCCAGTGACCTGAGAAAATTGCTTAACCACTCTGAGCCTCAGTTTCCTTGCCTGTAAAATGCTGAGAACACAGGGAAAGCAACCCAGCATAGGCCTAAGGACAGTCAATAATGCCTGTTCCTTCATTTTCCCCTACCCCCAACTTCAGGATTTAATCCATACTGGGGGCAGACACTATGCTTCCGGGTCCTGGTGCCTGAACTTGCCATGGTGCGCTTTGTGGTAAAGGATTATGACTGGAAATCCCGAAATGACTTTATTGGTCAGTACACCCTGCCATGGACATGCATGCAACAAGGTGAGCCAGCCCTTTGACCCCTGGCCAACACCCCAGCTCTGGCTGCCTTCCTGATGCTATTCTCCTGTCCCTTGCCAGGTTACCGCCATATACACCTGCTCTCCAAGGATGGCACCAGCCTCCACCCAGCTTCCATCTTTGTGTACATCTGCATCCGGGAAGACCTGGAGGAGGATGAATCTTGAGGTAGGCACTTCTTGAGAAGGGTGAATATGCTGGCTTTAGATGATAACCTGGAAGGATGCTCCAGAAAGAGCAATTGGAGGTGATGAAAACCAAGCTATGGATTGTGCATTCCTAGGCACAAAATCACCTCGTCCTCTCTAACAAACAGATCTAGGGTCTGATTTTTCACCTTCTTTCTCTTCCCTTCCTTTGTTTCCACAAGCTCATGGTTATCTTTCCTGCCCTTTCCCTTTGTGGATTCTATATTCTATACTGGAGTTCTCTCCTTCCTCTTGCTGTAGGCTCAACCCCATACCCAGATCTACAACTAATCTTTCCCATCAACTCTGATGTGAAAGCAGATTGCAACTAGACATCCAGTGAGGTGTGTGGAGCAGAGAAACCTAAAGATGCATTATCCCCTCCATGCCTGATTTCCTCAAAGCCCAGAGCCAAGGGAAGGATAAATCAAATTTCAAGGCTTCCTAGGCAAAGGCTGGGGAAGGAGACCTACTGCAGAACTGTACTGACTCTCAAGAGAACACTGTGCAGTGCTCAGAGTCCCCACTGGACTGCTCCATCTTAGCCCCACTGGTATAAATGCAGCTTCTCTCTCCAGTTTGGCTTGAGTATGGTCTGTTATTTTGGGGCATGAAAGGGCGGTACAAGGGTTGGGTGGACACTTGGGTAGTTGGGTGGGACGGGGAAAAGGTGGAGAAAGAGGTTTCCAGGGAACCTCCTCCATGTGCTACATAGGAAGGACACAGAGTACAACTTTTGAGAAGCAGGGCAAAAGGAAGAGACAAAGGGTTATGTGGTCCCAGCCCTCCTGAAGAATTTGCCTGGAATTGTCCTGGTTTATGTCCATTGTCCCAGAATAATTATTAATAGTACCCCCTTTAATTTTCCCAGTGTGTCCCAGTTTAGATGATCAACTATATAGTGAGGCACTATAGAATTATACTGTGAGGTACTTATATTTCTGGAGATTTACCTCCCTCATCATTTGCCTTTCACAGTATCCTTGTGTTTTAACACCTTACCACAGCTGCTGAGCCAATGTGAGGATTTATGTTGAATTATAAGTTGCCTCCATAAGGAGGCTTAGTGGGTGGCAATCCTTCCTCTGTAGGTAGACAAAGGGGCTTGGAAGTAGGGAGGAAGGCAAGGACCAGGACGGGCTCCAGGACAGAAAGACAGACCTCAGCCTGTTTTAGAATCAATCACTGAGTAAAGATGGATGGAGACAAAGAGGAGGCAGAGGTCTGAGAGGGGACAGACCAGATCAAGATGACAGATTGGAAATGTTAAGACAGGGATTTGGATGATTCTATAAGCTAGTAATCATTCTCTGTTTAACATGCTTTATAGAGCATTAGGCACAATAGCACATGCAGTTAGATACAGCTGTTTTGAAGATGCTAAAAGAAAATAGTACTTGACACAATAAGAAGGGAAAAGAAGATAGAGTGGGTAAAACCAAGTTCTTACAGTCAGGGACTATGATGGAGTGATGGTGAAGAAACTGAGAACTCACAGGTTTAAACACAGTATGCCTCAACATGAAATCAATGTTGTGATCCATGTCTCTCTCTTATATAGCCATTAACTTCAAAGTACTATAGCTAGAGTTCCAGGAGTGTTCCAGTCACCCTGATATCCCAAAGCCAGTCCTTTCTTAGGCCCTGAGCTCCTCAGGCCAGCTCTGGTCCCAGTTTACACATCTTGGACCACATCCTCTTGCTGTCTGGGAGGTGAGGTAGGCTCTCAACCCTCAGGTCCAGTGGGTAGAGCGGCAGGAACAGGAGGGCTAGGATCCTCCAGCTGCACATCATGCAGGTGCACTGTAGGGGTGGTAGGGTCTTTGCCCACACCCTGATTTGGGTCAGCTTGGTCAGGGTGGTGCCTGCGCACATGCTTGACCACTTGGAATTTCTGCTTGGCCTTGTAGCTGCAAAGGCGGCAAAAGAAGGGGTGGCGGTCGGTGTGGGTGAGGGCATGATGGCGCAGGCCCGCAGCCCAGCGGAAAGCACGGTGACACACGTTGCACACATAGGGTTTGGCCTCACTGTGCTTGCGAAGATGGGTACGCAGCAGGAAGCGTGTCTTGAAGGCCTTGCCACACTGCTCACACATGAAGGCCCGTGCTTCCCGGTGCCGTGTCTCTTGGTGCACACGCAGTGCGTCAGCCCGGTTGGTGCAGTACTCACACTCAGGACACTGATATGGCTTCAATCCTATGGGACAGGGAACAAATCATCATTGAAAGGGGGTGGAACAAGGGTTCAGTGGGCCATAAGAGTGACTGTGATCCTAGGATATAAAGAACACAAGCAGTAAGCTAATGACTCTACCTTTGTAATGTTCAAATCCTGTCTGACATTTCTGTGCCCTTCTCCCAAGATAACCTCTTGTACATGTGGTGCCCAGTGGATGCTGATGACTAACTGGACCTCTAACCAACCAGCCACCTAGTAATGAATACTCAAATATGATAGGGTTTCCAATGGGAAATTTCAGCCCCCTTTGGTCATAGGATACTCATGGAATTTAAGAATCCATTTAAACATAACTGCTTGGGTTTTTTTTTTTTTTGGGGGGGGTTGTTTAATATTCGGGGGGAGGAAGGGAAAGGAAGGGGTGAATATGGGTGGGGGGAGGGGGAGCCATAACTGCTTGTTCAACTCAAAAAGTAAAAGAAATGCTTAACAGAGAAGAGGTAGAAGTGAAAGAAGCAGTATTCATAGAAGCAAAGGGTCTTGAAATGCATTTGATCAATTCCTACACATATGGGGGACAGTATATAATAATCACAGGCACACAATTGTGTGCTTTTTGGAGAACCCATAGTTTGTGGATTCCATACCCAGAAGAAAAGGACAATTTGGAACAGGAGAATCCTCCATTTTCTCCTTACTTATGGTAGTTCCATCACGTCTGTGTAGGAACCAGGTATACCTGCCCTTAATCACTCAAGTTTGAATAGGAGGTTTCCAACAGGGGATGCATGACCTTGTACCACAATCACCTTGGAAACTTCTGCAAAGTATTATACATATGCCCAGGCTCTCAGGTTTATCCCTCTTCTAAGAGGTCTTCAGTAGGTTAGGGAGCCATTCTGGTACATAGTCCCCCAGCCTACTCCTTAGGTGAAAATCAATGTCAGCCCTAAATCTGAGCAAGATAAACACCATCTCAGTGAGGCTAGGTTTGCCAGGGAATGGGGGACCCTAAAGGCCTGTCAAAAGTATGCAGACTCACCTGTGTGTTTGGTCATGTGGTACTTGAGCTGGTTAACCCACTTGCACTTGTAGCCACACTCAGGGCACAGGTACTTCCGTTCCTCCTTGTGGATCCGCATGTGGTACTGGAAGAGGGAAAAGCAAAAAATGTGCACCCCTTGGTATTCACTGGATGTGGAAATAGGGATGAGGAGACAGAACCTGTTGGCAGATAACTGTTCTCTGCTCCCATCCTATCCATATTCCACTTACCAACCATGTCCCCCAGTCTGGTCAGTTTTGGTACCAGACTGACCCATTTGGCTTCTCCCTAGGTCTTCCCTGACTATCTCAGCTCTGTCATTTACTAGCTGTGTCTCTGGGTGATCTAACCCCTAATTCTCAGTCTACTAATATGTAAAATGGGGAATAGTAAAAGTATCCGTATGTCGTATTTCTGAAAGGATTAGAATTATAGTGCTGGGCATATAGTGAGTACTCAATAAATGTTATTATCATCATCCAGATTATCCCATTATATGCCTTTATCACATGGCATGTATTATGGAATTTTATCTTTACAACAACCCTATGCAGTTGGGAAGTATTATCCCCTTTTTACAGATGAGTAATCTGAGGCTTAGAAAAGTTGAAGACTTTCCCAAAGTCACAGAGCTAGTATTTGGAAAGTTTACTCCTTCTACTCCCTGCTCCACATCCTTTGACCTTACCTTGAGGCGAGAGGGGTCAGCACAGGCATAGGGACAGAGGTGACAGTGGTAAGGCTTTTCCCCAGTGTGGATACGGCTGTGCCAGGTGATCTTCTGCCGGTTCTTGGTGCTGTAGGCACAGTCGGTACACTTGTAGAGACGGGTGCCCCCATGCCCTTTCACATGGTGATCGAGCACTAACTGATGGCGGCAGGCAAAGTCACAAAAGGGGCAGTGCAGAGGGGGCTGGCTAGCATCCCCATCCCCATCTGAGGCCGCTGCCACTGCTGAAGTCTCTTCATGCTGTTCCAGGTAGTGCTTCACTAGGCCCACCCGCTCCCGGGCAGCAAAGTCACAGAGCTGGCAGCGGTGGCTAAAATGTTGCTGCCTCCGGTGCTCATCCAGTGCTGGTCGGCTAGGGAAGGTCTCCTGACAGGCCCCACACTCGAGCCGTGGGTGCTGTTTACGGGTGTGTCCTCGCAAGCTAGCAGGGCTGGGGCATAGCAACCCACAACGGGAGCAGTGCAGGGGTCCCTCAGTGGCCTCTGCAGGAGAGCCAGGGGCAGGGTGTGTAGGCTCGGGGTGTCGGCGCAGAGCATGCTGCTTAAGTGCTGTCTCTGAGCTGAACTGGGCCTCACATTGAGAGCAGGCAAAGGCTGGGGTGCCTTGGTGGCAGCTGTTGACATGGCGAGTGATGTCATGGCGAAGATAGCCACTATAGTCACAAAGTGGACAGAAGTGAGTGGGCGTTTTGTCATGTACCCTTAGCCGGTGCAAGCGCAGTTTTGAGTTGGTACCAAATGTCTGGGGGCAAGAGCTGCAGGGGATGCGGCCAACACCTGTGTGTCGGGATTGGTGAGCTTCTAACCGGTACCGTCTGGTAGTGGAAAAGTCACAGAAAGGACACTGATGTGGCTTCACCCCCTCATGCTTGAGCCGCCGGTGCTGCTGCATACAACGGCTCTGTTTACAGGTGAAGGCACAGTCCCCACACTGCAGAGGGGGCCGGGGGCCGCGGGCTGAGGCTGCAGTGGGGTGCTTCCGCTTCTGGTGGAGTCTCAGGGTAGCAGCAGCAGGAGCAGTGAACGGGCAGAGGCCACAGTGCAGCTCTCCAGAATCCTCAAGGGGACAGCCCCGGGTCTGGTGAGTCCTCAGAGCCCGTTCCTGCTGGCAGCTAAAGGGACATGTGGGGCAGGAGAAGCGAGCTCCCTTCTGCTTTTGAACTACAGCTGTGTCCCCATCACTAGGGCTGGACTCTGTACTCCCATTGCTCAGGGGAGCGGAGTCTCTATTGCTCAAGGGGGACACAACAGGTTGGGTCTGGGAGGCCCCTCGCTTTCCTCCCCCACCATGCCCCCGCCGGCAGCCTTCAGCTACGTGGGAGGTAATAGAGGAGAGCCGAGAACAAAGGAATGTGCATGAGTTGCAGCGAAACTTGCCCTGCTCAAAGTGGTACTTCTCAGGGGTCTCTGTGGGTGAGGAGTTTCCTGTAGGAGGAACTGGGGAGCTAGAGAGTGTGACAAGAGGCTCCTCTATTTCTTCTGGTTCCCGGGGAAGCTCTAAAGGAGCATCTTTTGGAAGCAGTAGCTCTACTTCTAGGGGTGTAGGTGGGGGCTTCCCGCTTTCTGTGTCCTCTGAGGCCTGGGCACCTGGGAGCAGAGGATGCAGTGGGATGAGAGAATCTGGTCTGGGCAAGCCTTTGCTCTTTCTGAGCAGAACAGGGCACTTCTTTAGCAGATGGGTGCTGAGGCCACGTTGTTGCTTGAAGCGAGCCCCACACTCAGGACACAGCAGGGGCTCTCGGCGGCCCTGACACCCAGTCCTGGAGTGCAGATTCAGGGCCTTCTCCCGGCGAGTGATAAAAGGGCAGTGTGGGCAACGGAAAGCTCGTCCCTCTCCCTGGATCACTACCATCTGCACCCGCCCCTCTAGCACCAATGCCTCTGCTTGTTCTTTGTCCTGCCTCCTTAGGGCCTTGAGTAATGACTCTGACTCAGGGAATGAGGGCAAGGGTGCTGTCTCAGCAGGTGGAGTTGCCTTGAATGTTCCCACCCAGCTATTAGAGGCCTCCTCTGAGGATGGAGGATTTCTAGGGGGCTCAGAGATTGGCTTCTCCAGAATGGGATTTTCTTCAGCACCCAAGCCTGAAGTCCCAATACCTTCAAAGCCGGACAGCTCTGGTCCTTCCAGTCCCAGGGGCTCTGAGGAATCCAGGGGCCTGAATTCTACAGGGGCTGTTTCAGTGATTTCCTCAAGAGGTGGCTCAGCCACAGGTTCCAGCTCTACTCTCAGGGCCTCTAGGTGTAGTGTGCAGCTGCCCTCCTCTACCTCTGCTGGGCTGGGGTTGCCAACCAGGTCATCCCCATGGGGAGCCTCATTGCCATCCTGTTTCTCAGTGCTGACCTCCTCAGTTGTCTCTGGCAGGGACTGGTTCAAGCTGGAGTCTATTACAGTCCCAGGATCATGGCCTGGCCCCTCAGGCTGGGCAGACAGCTGGCTTAAGGGCTGTGAGTCCAATGGGGGTGTTGGACACTGCCTGGCCTCCCCTGGCTCCTGGCTGGCATAGCGGAGCTGCCAGACCTGGTCCCCAGGCACATAGCCATGGGCCTTGCGCTTGTGGAACAAGAGGGTGGTATTGCTGAAGGTGCGATAGTCACAGAGGGCACAATGGAACTCACGGAGGCGGGTATGCTTGCAGTTCTCATGGCTCAACAGGGCCTGCTTGTGGCGGCTCTGATAGCTGCAGTAGTGGCAGGGGTAAAGTGGGGCTGGTGTGCCAGGGTGGTGCTGGGAAGCCATGTGCTTCTGCAGCTCATACTTTCGCTTGCAGGCGAAGGCACACACCTCACACATCAGAGATTTGCCCTGGTGCCGCAGCTTGTGGCTGCTCAGCTGATCAGCCCGGTGGCAGCGATAGGAGCACTGGTTGCACTGGTATCTGGCAAGGAGCAAAAGGGGGAGGCAATCACAATAATAAAAAAATCATAACAACTCAGAGTCACTAAATAAAGACTTACTATGGGCCAGGCTCTACACTCAGTATTATACACACGTCATCTGATTTAACCCTCCTTACCACTACCCTATGACTGTGGCCCCAATCCCTGGTCCATGGACTGTTAGGAACCGGGCTGCACAGCACGACGTGAGCAGTGGGCAAAGCTTCATCTGTATTACAGCTACTTCCCATCACTCACATCACCACACAAGCTCTGCCTCCTGTCAGATCAGCAGCAGTAGCATTAGATCCTCATAGGAGCGGGAACCCTACTGTAAACTGCGCATGTGAAGGATCTAGGTTGTACACTCCTTAGGAAAATCCAATGCCTGATGATCTGAGGTGGAGCTGAGGCAATGATACTAGTGCTGGGGAGCAGCTGCGAATACAAATTATCATTAGCAGAGAGGTCTGACTGCACTTGAATCAACCTGAAACCATCCCCCGCCCCTCATCTGTGAAAAAATTGTCTTCCAAACTGGTTCCTGGTGCCAAAAAGGTTGGGGACCGCTGCCCTGTGAAACAGGTATCTATTTTACAAGTGAGGAAACTAAGTAACAGAAGTTAATAACTTGCTTGAGGTTAGTTACAAAGGAAGTGAGGGGCAGAGACAGCCTAGCTTCGGGACCTGTGTTCTAAGCCTTACGCTATACTGCTTCCTAAAAGAAAGGTATTATGAATCAGCACAACCCACCATGGACTTTAAGAAGCTGACATGGCCACAGCCCCACAGGGCAGGTTTCTGTGCCTTGTTCCCAATCTCCCACAGAGGAATGAAAGCTACAGAGAAACCCGGTAGCCAGCTGTGCCCACAGGTCAGAGAACCTTCTTTGATTTGGAAGTGGCCAAGACTGGGGCCATAAGTGTAAAATCTATCCAATTTCCCAGGGCCAAACTCTGAGGACTTAGGCAATAGCTGAGATGGTGGGAGCAGAGAAAGGTATCAGGAGGAGACACTTCCAGGGACTGGAAAAAGCAAGGGGGCCAGAGGATGGATCCAAGAGGAGGCTAACTTGGCATAAGGTTCTTGGGATAGGGATGGAGGCACATGTGTGCTCATACCTGAGGTCCCCTGCATGTTTTCGCATATGCACACGGAGGTAGTGCTTCCATTTGGTGACATAGCCACATTCAGTGCACATGTAATCTTTGGTGTTTGAGTGGGTCAGCATGTGTTTGGATAGGTAGCTTACATCTCGGCATGTGAAGTCACACAGCTCACACTTATGAGGTTTCTCACCTTATATGGGGGGTGAGGATGAGAGAGGAGAGAACACAGGTCACACACAGATCAACTGAGTGGACAGACCATTTCTTCCAGCAAGCTTACCCTGATGCCAAGCAGGAGCAAAAGCTTCATGTGCTACCTGAAATGTTGAAGACTTCACAATAATCAAGGCTGCTTCACAACCCTCTCAGACTACTCCCCAAATCCTACACCAATGAAGATGGGAAGAAAGTAAAGACTGAGCTTTTCAAAACTACCTTTAAAATCCCCCTGATTTGTTTTACAGCTTGTTGGCACTAATAGCCAACTGCTCCACTGAGCCCAATTCCTTTCATGTTCTGGAACAGAAGGAAAAAGAAATTAGACTATAGAACATAGTGGTTAAGAACTCTGACTCTGAGGCCGGGCGCGGTGGTTCACGCCTGTAATCCTAGCGCTCGAGGCGGGCGGATAGTTTGAGCTCAGGAGTTCGAAACCAGCCTGAGCAAGAGCGAGATCCCGTCTCTACTAAAAATAGAAAGAAATTAATCGGACAACTAAAAATATTTAGAAAAAATTAGCCGGGCATGGTGGCGCATGCCTGTAGTCCCAGCTACTCGGGAGCCTGAGGCAAAAGGATCGCTTGAGCCCAGGAGTCTGAGGTTGCTGTGAGCTAGGCTGACGCCACGGCACTCTAGCCCGGGCAAAAAGAGCGAGACTCTGTCTCAAAAAAAAAAAAAGAACTCTGACTCTGAAGTACAACAGAGTAATAAAAATATTAACAGCCAATATTTACAAAGTGCTCAATATGTGCCACGCATTTTATAAAAATACCTCCTCCCACTGAATCCCTATGGGGCAAATGCTATTATCGCCTCCATTTTACTGATGAGGACACTGAAGCATAGAGAAATCACAGAGCTATTAAGCGGTGATTTAAATCCCAGCTTACTACTCATGTGGCTTTGGGCTGTCTCAGTTTCTTTGTCTCCAAAGAGAGGGCAACAAAAATATTAACCTCACACGACTGGTATGAAGATTAAACGATATGTCCCAAAGTTGTCAGTGGTGCCCAGTGAGAACTCAAAACTGAGCTGTCCATGTAGATAGTCAAGATCTGGCTGTGAGAGGATGGGGGACCATGTTCCTTCAGGACCCCTCCCTGGTTCCCTGCCCACTCACCCAGCCTCCTTCCCTGTGGTAAAGGCAAGCAACATGGTATTCTGGTTCTGGTTCTTCCACTAGCTGTGTGATCTTAAAGTAGGTCTAAATTTAACTTCTCAGAGTTTGTCCCTTTTCTCATCTTTACCTGCCTTGCTTACAATATTGTTATTACAGATTATATGGGATAACATATATGAAAAAACTCTGTAAACTATAAAGCACTGTATAGATATAAAGCTTTAGGAAAGGCCTCAGAAACATGAGATTTTGTGACTAAAGCATGTATTATATAAAAATGAACTGTTTAATGGGAAAAATAATGGCTTTGCCCCACGCTACCTAAAAATTGTTCTCCCAAACCAGTCTTTTTTTTTTTTTTGACACAGAGTCTCATTCTTTTGCCCAGGCTAGAGTGAGTGCCGTGGCGTCAGCCTAGCTCACAGCAACCTCACACTCCTGGGCTCAAGCGATCCTTCTGCCTCAGCCTCCCGAGTAGCTGGGACTACAGGCATGTGCCACCATGCCCGGCTAATTTTTTCTATATATTTTTAGTTGTCCGATTAATTTCTTTCTATTTTTTAATAGAGGTCTCGCTCTTGCTCAGGCTGGTTTCGAACTCCTGAGCTCAAACAATCCGCCCGCCTCAGCCTCCCAGAGAGCTAGGATTACAGCTGTGAGCCACCGTGCCCGGCCCAAACCAGAGTCTTTGATGAAATTTTTTTAATGTCCTAATAAGCCACTGATGTTTATATAGAGATCATCAATGGGATGATGCTATAGCAGGAAGCTTGATTTGGCTGTCACCTAAAGCATCAGTAATGCTGGTAAACAATTGCAAGCTGGAGTTGAAACATCTGCAACCTCTGGGTCACTGGAGATGATCTTGTTCCAGTGTCATGAATGTCCAAGCTACGGAGGGCCATGATGTGTATGGATGGCTCAGTCCCCTTGCCCTTTCTCTCACAGCACATCCCAAAACTTGAATTACAAATGAAGGTATTTGTCCTGGTCTGGGTTTCTTCACTCTAATAGGCTTGGTGTTGACCCACCCAAGCCTGACTAGGGGCAGCAGAACTGGACAGCGGATTAAGGGCAAGACACAACAGCATAGTAGTTAGAGCACAGGCTCTGGAATCAAACTGCCTGGATTCAAATCTCAGCTCAACTACTTATTAGCTGAATGACACACTCAAGGATCTTTTT